ATTCCACACATGACTCCTCGAGGTATACCCCAAAAATGACCTAGTTCCACAAATGTAATTTTTTTACATATTTAAACAGCTTAACAAAAGTATGTTGCCGCCGAGAGCGCGGCTTATCCCAAACTGCTGGTCGATGGAGCTGAGCAATCTATGCTTAAGTGCTACGCTCACTCTTCGAGCCCCATCGATGAGAACTCCAGAATGGGTGTACCTGTGTGCAGTGAAGAGAAGAAATTGTATACGTGGGGCTGCTGTGTGAAGTGAATGGAATCATTTCCACCTCACAACGCACAAAGGGAAAAAGGGCAGCCCACACTATACTACAACTACACTACCACCGAAAAGAGCGATCCATTCATGAAGAATGCAAAACCAGTCAACTGCACAACTTTCAAACTTCCAGGAGAAGAAGTAATATCATATATCTATGAAGAAGGTGAAGAAGGTCCGTCTAGAACCATGACTAGTACGGACCTAAGGCCCTAATTCAAAGAAAACTTCAATTTGATTTTGCCTAACCTCCTCCCAGCCTCTAATTTCTCGAGAAAACTGAGAATCAAAAGAAAGGTAAAGAAAATCAAAGACCCATAACATAACAATAATACTAACAGTACATTAGCAATTACTTAGTGAGAGATCCAAGACAAAACTGATACGTAAGGAAAGTAATTAACTGCCAGCAGGTAAGTCAACTTCGGAATTTTAAAGCTGCTACGGTCTTACTTGCAACTTTCTCCCATGTCCCAATGAATTTGTAAACAGCGGTCCCCTTCCATTCGAAGAAAGTGATAACACGTCTATTGCACAGCCGCTAGCATTGCACTATCTTGTTCTGCAAATAGCGACCAGAGGGCAATTTGCAGGAACCGGAAGAAAGCACTATGGGAAAAATAAAAGGTTACATGGTGCTTTATACAAAATGACGTCACCAATTGGAAAAATCAATAGCATGGAGGAAAAACTGACACTGAAAATGGTTAAAAAAAGCCTACCCACCCCGTTTCAACGAATTTTCGACACTTTTGTAAAAGGAGAAAAGCTCTGAAAGTAATATCACAAAGGAAAGAGAAAAAAAGCGGAAGGGTAGGGTAAAGACAGAATAACAAGAGACACAATGTAGAACCGTACCTTCTATCCAAACATTTCAGTTGAGGAAACATAATTTATGGGAAAAGCACTTGAAATATGACGATAAAGAAGTTTGGACCCACTGTACAAACGTATAGAGCGGATATCGATTGACGGACAAGTTCGAGAGATGGAGACACTTGGCAAAAATACCCGAAGAACGCCCAAAGGGCCGAATCGATAAGTGAACGATCAGATCGATAGATCAAAAGGACAGTGTCGGAGGCGTAAGGGCGTTAGCAAACCCTGATTCCTCAGCAAGCTTGGGGCAGACGGCTCAGTACTGGTTCAGTCAGAAGTGAAAGTGTTGAAGCGCGACGTCATCGAAGCGGAAAAGTCCAATTGTGAAGAATGGCTGCGTCAGAGGGTGCATCCGCCCCGTCACGTAACAACCTAACGGTAGCCGGCTGGCTTAAGCCGCCGTCTGGACACCCCCTCATAAGAGTATATAGAAAATTTGACCATAAATTATCTTCTAATGGCATTATATTTATAATTATAACAATTCACAGCACTTCTCATTACAAAGAGCCCCTTCCCGTTAAAATGAAACGTAATGCTTTAACAAATTGTTAAAAAATTCCACGTTCAGGTTCAGGTTGTTCGAAGTACCCATAACAAAGTGAGCTTCTTGGACACTCCTAAGAATAGTTATTCACCTACTGGGAACATAAAAAGAAAAATAAGGCATGGGCAAACGCCCAAAGCCACTTAGCCGCCCTGCAGCCTGGTAAGAAATAACTGCCAAGCTGGCTGGTCCGTTGCGCAATTAACACGATGACCCTTCAGAAAGTCATGGTTGTTCCATTGCTACTGCACTGAGCAGTAATCAGCAGGAAATAGCTCATTTGAAGAAGCTCTAGCTGGGTAAGTCGGCGGGAATTCTAATATAAACTCGCTTTTATTTTTGTTTCTGATAGCAGTCACCTAAGTTTAGCACTCATCACCTGATTTTTCATCCACCCCTACGATTAGTAGAAGTAAATATATAAGTAGGTTCGTTTTGAAAAAGACTGTAAACATATTGATTTTACATGCCTCCTCTCTTCCTTTTCACTTTCATAGTGTAACTATGAAGCGGCGAGAACTTATCGATTTTTCCGCCATTGGCCGATTCTCCAATCCGATCATTTAGCACTATGTATGAACGCGATTCTACCCGTAAATTATCAGAATATTTGGTATGCTCTACATACTGGTACATAAAGAATTTACATCGGCACCTATTAACCTTTTTTCGGTGAGTGAAGCAGTGGAATTTTAAGTGATCAAACACCAGAGTATAAATTAGAGGACGAAAAAAAGATAGCATTGTACCGTACCTCTGACACAAAAAAAGACGATGTGAAATGCCACATAAAGGCTGAGGAATATGCGGATCACAGTGCGAGCTAAGTGCTACGGCGAAATTTCAGTTTCTATAAGTGCAAATCTCTCCCCCCGCTACCTCCTGGACTCGTTTCTCTCGAAGAAATGGCCTTTCGTTTTGATGCTCACAATATACACTTGAACTAGTCTCACTACTACCATTGCAACTGGTAATTGCTCTCTTCCCTCCTTGATGACCTTACAATCTTACCATTTTCTTGCATATGAACCGAACCATTATCTCACAGTAACCTTAAAAATTTTCCGGGAAATTCTAGCCATGACTATTCCTCTCTTTGTTCTGAACAAAAGAAATGCAAACATATGGATTTGATTACATAAACAAACGGCGACTTATAAACAGCGCCATGTTCCTGGCGACGGAAGCTATGGTAGTGTGGAGCGAGCGAATCAGAGCTGTCTACGCCAGAAAACACCAATCGATAGCTATGAAATAAGTGCATGGAATGACTGAGGATAGTACATCGATAAATAACTGACAGAATGAATAGTTCCAGTGTTGGCGATCGTCGAACCGACCAGCCGGCCTCAACCAACGAGAGCGTCGAGTGCAACGGGGCCGCAAGGCGCACAGCGATCGAAATTTGCACTTGTAGTACACCATCACTCTCTTCTGCCCCTCACGCTCCCCTTCACTCATACTCGTACACGCTACTATGCCCCAGTTGAACTTCTGCCAAAACCCACCAAAACTGCCTGACTACAATTGCAATCAAATGTTGGAAATAAAGTCAGAATATTGAATGACAAAAAAGACCAAACGGTAAGCCTGAGCGCTACCGTACCACCAGGGGCGAAATATAGCACATGTTCGACGCGAAGAGACAACCTTAAGAAAAACAGCAGCTGATTGTGTCCACACTTTCAATAAGTGGGTGCTAACGCGCTGGTCTCCACCCCTTCCGTTGTTGCACTTTTGAAGAAAGAATTGACCGTGAACTGACCCCAAACCAGGTCGAAGGTCATCATCTATACTCTTTGGTTAATAAACATTAAATCGAGTAAAAAGTCTCACTCGGTGGACGGAAAACGCAATGAGTAGTACTTGTAGGCTTTGATCGTGAGATCGAATCCGGGCATGGTAAAGAAGCACTGAACAACAAGGGACACTTGATCGGTAATCAGTGAGCGGTTCCACAAGCATTCGAACCAACCTGAATAAAAATTGAGCAAATGAAGATATCAAGGAAGGTCAAGCTTTATGACAACGTTTCCAACCTCACTAACCCAACTGCACCCTACAGCACATGAGCGGCGAGAACGAAGACTAAGTAAAGCTCGTGGAAGCTTCCCTTCAACTGAATCATTGCCTGGAATTTCCACTTCTAGGACCTACAGAATAACGGACAAAAGAAGTTCATTACCCACAATTCAGCCTTATCTCGGCCTAATACGCTCATCGCTCTTCACCTCAGCAGACGTAATCGACAACGATATTTCACACTGTATTTCTTCGCCATGAATTCAACCGTCTCGAATTAGGCCCCAACACCTCAGTAGCTTTGTCTCAGCAGAATCAGAGGAAGCATAGCGAGCTGGGATGGTAGTGGCTGGACCTTTTACCTAATAAAGTTGAACTGAAAGGCTTATGACAGGGCCATCGCCTGGCATACTCTTAACAACGAGTCAATAGGAGCGGCGTATTCTGACCTACACTCAACTACTACATGGAGGAAACACAGTGCCCTTTGTTGTCCACTCATTACTGTTACGTTCTCATCGTCTGTCAGCGCGGACAATATTGGGATATGTTTAGACAGCCTAGGAGAGCTACAACTTGGTTCTAGAAACACCGTCAGCCATTAAAATTCGGAGCCATTAAACTCAGTAAGAGGGGATAGCAGCCAGGGAAGCATCACTTATTTAACAACATAATACCATGAGGCAATCTACTGGCACTAGGCAGCTTTCATGGTCCACGATGCGTCGACAGCCGTCGCAGATTACGGCAGCCGCCTCACGCCAGTTAACGGTTTCATGGCATTAACTTTGAAATTCATCATTTTCTTGCCAAAGTTCGATAAAAGTGATTAAAAGAGTAAATAACATCATTAATTTAGTGATAGCAGATATCAAAAATCCGTATCTTACCGGAGCCTTAGCAGAGCCAATTTCTCTGTGCAAATAGCCAAAGCTTGATTTAGAACACTGCATAACAAACTAGTACCGTTGATGAAAACTTTGAGTTTTATCCACATGCAATCAAATAAATGGTACAGCAAAACAGCATATACATCTGTATAGCAAATAGGATAAAGGAATATTTCATCAGTGATGCTAAAGCAATAGAATTACCGAGATTATAAGCGTAAATGTCCCGAGCGATAAAGACTTGTAGTAGATACGATGATTTTACGGTAGCACAACTATTTATAAGTAAAATAAAACTTGGAAGACCTTTAAAAGAGATATTTCACAAGAATGAAGATGCACAGCAACACGACTCAGCCAATGTGCATCAAGTGAAACCAGAACGTCTCGCTCTAATCCTCACACCATGCGTTTTCCTTACGAATCTGCTCCTCCTCTTCTGGGGTGAAATCGTTCTTGATATTAAACGTGCGACGAATTTCTTCAGGTGTCTTTCCTTTGATCATATTGGCCACCGTTTTACAGGCGACATCAAGTAGACCTTTGATATCGAGGTAGTTTGCCGCAAGGATCAGTTCAAACAAAGTTCCTTGATCAACTTTCAGGAACTCCATATCCCAACTAGGGATATCATCAGTGCGCTTCTCGCGATTATCGGAATCGTCAGTTTTTGGTGGATCATCCTTGTGAAACGTACACCACTGCAAGACTTTTTTCATTATAAGACCGGATACGTTGCAGATCGGGATCGGATCATCAGATTCATTTTCCAAATTGAGATCATGAAGCATTGTGTTGATAGTATTCGAAAGTCGAAGCACATCACGAGGTACATCGAAGCTCTCACCGTCATTCGTCACCAGCTTCATCGTCGTAGGCTTTTACGTATCCGACGGTATGGCAATGTTACCTGATTTCACACCTTTAAGCTACTTATCTTAACACCTCTCTTTTAAATAAATCAATAAAATCAAAATTAATGAACAAAATGGAATGGTGCTACCATTCACATTCACTCTGGATCAAACATAACATTTATTACACCTATTACAATGATACATGACTTCAAACAGAACTGAATATATTGACAACGTAACAAACATTCATCCAGATCACTCCGTACCATAGCAACTCCCACTCATTGCATAGGGAAACAAGGACTACTAAATGAAATCGGCCGATCAATTCACTGTTTGGAGGCACTCTGAAATAAGAAGAACTAATTGACGTTCAAAAGGGAAGCGAATATTAATGCTTAAAATCGATAGAGCTAACCACCGCCGCCACAGCTTCCATAAACTTGTCGTGGAACTCCTTTGCAATTTCGGCTGTTTTGAACTTTGCTGTGAAAATCTCGTCCACCCCATCCGGTGATTCCGAATAATCCTGAAGTTGATTTTTTAATACGTCAGGTGTTTCCTTTATATGTAGTCTATGAAGACCACAAGTTAAATAGTTTTTCTTTGCTGTTAATACTTCAAACTATTTGTATCACATTTTCACAAGATATGGCCCACTGAGAAACAGTGGGAGACAATGATGATTCAAACTATACGTAAAAAACAACAGTAGGACATCAATGAAAAAGGCAATGGCTTAAAACTTACGCGACAGACCCAATTGTAGACGTTCGGCATTCCTTTCTTTTCATTCAATTCAGTTTTAGGCGCAATGGCGAAATTTGCACAGACCTTGTGAACTTGTTCACGGCGCATCACCACACGATATTTATTAGTTTTAGGATTTCGTAGTATCTAAAAATGGTGGATCGTAAACAGAAATGCAAACAGCAAAAAATCCAGTGGGTACTTTGACAGAAGATACCTTGAGATCTCCAACACCACGCTCTTTGTTCTCTTTGGTTTCTTTAACAAAACGAAATAGCTTCGCTCTAGCAACAAACACCACCTGAATGCTTTTTATTAAAATTGCCATAAATACTGCATTATAATCATATGAGTGCTAAGTCTCCCAACATTTCACGGACTTCATGAGAAAATCGAATGAATGGGCTTAACACACAACAAACCTCTTCCCCTTCTTCACCGGTCACAACATCAACAAGATCTGGTAGAGGAACTACCGGAGCGAACTGTACATCAGGTTCGTATTCTTCATCAGCACCGTGTTCTCCGTCTCCTTCTCCTCCTTCTTTGTGCTTGCTATCTGATTTAGAATGATCGGCAGTTACAGCAAGCTGAAAATATCACTGTACTCAATTCATTACCTTCACAAAAGGTGAAATACAGTAGCGACGAAAAATAAATCGTAACATTTCGCCTTTTTTGACGACTTGACTGTCGTACTGACTACTGGAACAAACTAAGTCAGCTAAGTAACAAAGCAAAAGTCACGAGCCTTGCTCTTTGCTTGAGCTGCAAATTCAGCCTGAGCCTTCTGTGTATGGGCTGAATCAAAAATAGATCCTGAAGCCGATTTCGCGAGGCTAGCAAATGACAAGTTACCACCAAATCCACTGCCAAACACCTACAGAATACAAGAGTCTACTTTGTTTGTAATGATCATTGATTTACTGTACCTTTTGCTCAGTTTTAGGTTGTGTCGCTGCTTCTTTCTCGTCCTTATCTTTATCCTTCTTCTCCTCGGCTGTCACCGTACTGGACGCGCCAAAAAGCTTGCTACCGAAAAGAGATCCTCCCGTGCTTGGTGTTGTGGATGTAGATCCAGCTGAGCAAAGAATTGTTTTCCGAAATCCACAAGAACGGTACAAACATCCATTTACCTGGTTTGAAAGAGAATGTGACAGGACTTGCTGAGCTAGTCAGCGCTGTAGAAGTTGGTGAAGCTGCAGCCTCAGGTTTTTTTGCAAAGGAGAACGTAGGAAGAGGAGAGCTTCCTTCTGAAGACATGATTTTGTTTATCAATATCAGCAAAAACAGAATAATGAAAGGACCATCAAGTATAAGGCCCCATGAAGAATCAACCAAGTGTGATCGAAGCAGCACCTGCAGGTGGTTTAGCTGAGGCACCACCAAAAATGGAAGGTTTTGAACCAAACGTAAAGCCACCTGATGGGGTAGAGCCAGAAGAAGATGTTGCCAAGGATGCCCTAAAAAGTATTATTAAATAAGAAGAACAAGTATTCTGTCAACCGAGCCAACCTTCCTAAAGAAAGGCAAACTAAACAAAGTTTCGAAATAAATACCCGAATAGCGACGATTTGGGCGCACTCGCAGGTGTTGAAGTCGGTATTGCCGGGGCAGCCTTAGCTGCAGCAGCTGCACTTAAACCAAAAGTAAATTTCTGTCCTTCATTACTTGGAGTTCCACCGAGAGGAATGCTTGAGGTCGGCAGCGTTGATCTGAACAATCAACTGTAAATGCTATCAATAAAGTTGAAACTTGCTAATGGACAACCAACAGCTATCCTTGCCATTCACTCAGAAAAAAGCCTTGGTCTAGTGCTTATAGGAAAGTTATGAACAGTAACAAAAGTGCCGAGCATTAGAATCAGGCTACCTTCAAAATCATCGGAAAATAGGACTGATTATGAATAACTTTTTATAGCGCACATCGAAAAGTCCCGATTACTACCATCCCCAAAACTGATTTCCCATCCTTCCCACTCATAGAAAGGTTCAGTTTTACTAGAAAGAAACACGAAATAATTCATGACTTTACTAGAAAGAAACACGAAATAATTCATGACAATGATTTCTAGATGGCAGCAGAGGAAGACCCGGAGACAAGCGTTGAACGAGGAATCCGGACAGAAGAACTGGAACTGAACTCACTTGGATGTCGGAGCGGGGGCTTTCTCTCCCGACTTCGAAGTACCACAACATGGACACTTGTCTGCATCTGTACGTGAGTAACATTCTGGGCACTCCCATCTATAACAATACACCTAGACCGTTTCCAATGCCTCTTTCTGAAATATCACAATAGCGGTGGAAATAAACGCACTGTCCAGGCTGCAGCTTGAACTGGTCTCCGTAGCCTTTCTGCGGAACCGATTCATTACTATCAGAGCTTTTCTCTTTGTCCTCCGCTTTTTTCTCTTTACTGTCTCCAGAACCTTTGCTCTTTGATTTGTCTTCTTGCTTTTCACTCTTCGTCGGTTTCACTGGAGACGCTGCTGAAATAATGCATATCCTTTTCTAGAAAGAAAAAAAAATGATTCGCATCAAAAAGTAACACTCACCACCTTCAGCATTTTTTACTGCTTTCTCGAAAACTTCCTTGAACTTATTAGCCACTTCCACACTTGCGAATCGAGCTGAGAGTTTTTCATGGGACTTTTGGTCCTCGGAGAAATCTTCACAATACCACATCATAGCTTTTTCTTGACGCGGCATTACTTGAATCGTCATGCCCGGCAGTAACTGATGGTTCGCGCACACTTTGAAGACCTAGACAAGCAGGAATAGAGGTGAAACGAAATTTTTTGCAACCCAGAAGCACTATTGTGTCAGATACGCTACCAACCTGGTCCCTGCGCATCACAACACGACACTTCTTAGTGTTGGTGTTTTCAAGCACTTTCATCGAGCCTGTTCCACGCTCTTTCCACTCCCTTGTATCATCAGAGAAGCGATACAACTTACAACGCTCCTCGAAAATTACCTGAAAAAAAAAACATGGAAGCTTTGAGCCAATCTCAGAAATTCCTTTCACCCCGAAGAGCCCCAAATGTGGGGGAAAACGTTAAGTAATTATTTGTAGTTTCGGCCGATAACAAAACAACCACAAAGGTCCCACCTTCTCGTCCTCTTCTCCAG